CGGGGGCCGGGAGATGCAGAGGCCGGGAGACCCCCGGACACGCTCCGCTGGTGACAGTGGCGGCGCCAGGGTTGCCAAGGCGACCACCCGACCCGACCTCCAGGCCCACGAACCAGCCAATCAGAATCTTTCTCTCTCCCGCTGCCCCGCCTCGGCTCCTCCCGGCAGCGTCCGTCTTGTGTCCGCGCTGCTGATTGGCCGCTGCAGCCCAGCAGGGCTGGGATTGGCGGCGGGAGCGCGCGGGCCGCGGGTGCGCGCGCAGGTCGGTCCCCTCCGGGCACGCACTGTCCCTTATAGGCGCGCGAGCCCCCACAGCCGCGGACATGTCGGTGTCCCCCGTGAAGCGGCAGAAGATGGAGTCGGCGCTGGACCAGCTCAAGCACCACACCACGGTGGTGGCCGACACCGGGGACTTCAACGGTGAGAGGCGGCGCGAGGGGATCCTGTCACCGCACCTTCTCCTTAGCCCCCTCTCCCGCCCCCCTTCACGGAGAGTGGGCGCGCCCGACCAAGGAGGAAATTACAAAAACACTTTACCACCCCTGAACACTCAACACAAAATTGTGAACTTAAATGCTCCCTGAGAAAACGCTGATATAACCTGAAAGAGGCTCTTCATTAAAATGAGAGCCCTTTCACCAGTCAAGCCCAGAGATGTAATAAGGGCTGGGGTTAATATGCCCCTGACAGGACCCGCCTCTTGTTCGCATGATGCTCACGAAAAGGGAGGAGATAATTACCATAAGGGATAAAAGCTCTGAGAAGAGCTGTAGCTGTTTGGCTCCTCTCACTTCAAGGTGAGTAAAGGGCTCTATAGATGCTTTTTTTTTTTTTTTTTTTTTTTTTTATACTACAACTGCATTGACCACTAGACCAGGCAGGGGGCAAAAAAAAAGCTTGTTTTGGCAGAGTAGATAGGTAAGTTGAGTAATTTGTTGTTAACTTGAAGTCCTATTTATTAGTAATTACTAAGTAGCAGTGACTAAGTATCATGGAGAGGAATGTTAACAGTATAAATGATGTAATGCCCCTTGGGACCTCTAATTAGTGCTATATACATTGTAAATAAAAATAAGAAATATAAGGGATACTTAGGCAGCCTTAGGGTTATGTATGTGCTGAGCTCACTCCCTTGTGAGAGATCAGGGGCAGGGGCACAAGTAAAAGCATCCTGAAGTCCAGATTTAAACCCTTAAAAGGCTGAAAAAAGGGAGGCTTCCTTCCACTGAACTTAAAATGAGGGAACTGGGCGTATTTGCCTCTTCTTAAACCAATACCGTGGTAATAAGTGGGCTCTCCCCTCTGAATCCCCTAAAATATTGGAAAAAGAGGGATTTTCCTTACTTCAAGTCTCTCAAATGATAGAAAAAGGGGGATTTTTCCTTCAATTCAAAGCCTTGAAAAGGAGGGACAACATGTCTTTCCCCTCAATTCAAACCTCAGGATGATGAAAATGGGTGAGTTACTTTAAATTCACACACATAATATAGTGTTGTTAAGGCTTTCCCCTTCCATTTAAACTGGAAAATAATGGAAAATGGGGATTCCCTGTCAAGTGATACCCCTAAGAGCATGGAAAAGGCAGGGTTTCCTTCAGTTGATACCCTTAAAATCACAGGGGATTCCTGCTCAATTTAAACACAGACGATTATGGGAAAGGAAGTTTTTCCCCTCAGTTTAAATGCCTTTTCTCCTAAAAATCCCCCCTTTTTTCTGGGGGCACTGGGGAAGGACTGATAAGAGGAAAGTTGTATGTTTCCCCTGGGACCCCACATGCTACTTCACCTGCTCAGGTGCTGCCCCTTGCCACAAGATCTTTTCCCCTGGCAGCAGCTGGAAACAACATGGGAAAGGCAAAATTTAAATGGTGTTTTCTGTCAGAAATTGAGCCTCTATGAACATAAATTTTGGACAAATTAAATAAGGTCACTTTCCTAGAATAACCCCATGCCATGGAAGTCTCTCCAGTGCAGGTGGTAACAGGCAGGAGAAGCACAGGGAGACACAGTCAGGGATTGGCACTTCCTAAAGACCCCTCTGCACCAGGATGTTCTTTGCCCTTTATTTGTAAAGAAGGGGGTGGCAGCTGCCCAGGAATGCTGCTCAGGGCCCTTGCACATGGAACACATCAGGGAAGTGAGAAGAGAGATGGAGAGAGCAAAGAAACAGAGCCTGTTTTCCTTGTTTCTGTTCCTCAATCACGGCAACTCTGAAAACTGGGCCAGATCCAGGCTGTGAACACACAGGTACTCCGGGACTGATTTCCTTTGGACCTCAAGCAGCACAGACCCGCTGGGAGCAAATAGAATCCAAGGGCTGATGTCAACAGCTGTCTTCCCACTTGTACTCTTCCCACATTTTCCCCTTCCAGGGAGATGCAGGTCCATTCCCAGAAGGAAAAACTGCCTTTCAGTCTAATATAAAAACTGCCTAAAAAGACCAGGACTCCAGGAGCCAGCAGCCATTTCTCCTGGGTTTTCTGGTTACAGGTATTTTAATTCTGCTTTGCTTCAGAGGTGCTTTTCTACCAAGGTCATCTCCATCTTTTTTTATCTTGAATAAAGTTTTAAAAACCCGAGTTTCATGAGTTCATATTTTGATTACTTTTGGAGTTTTCCAGGGCAACACTCACCATGATCCTGCTGGGTCAAGGCACCTTCTGGTCTGCCACAAGCCTTTACATCCCACTTTACCTGGTCAGTGTTCCCATGAACAGAACACACAACTCACCATGGACATGTTCAAAGTCCAGTTTCATGCCTGGAGGTGACAGACAACACACAGTAACACCAAAAGCCAAATTTCAGGTTAGTTTTTCTCCTTCAAACTCTTCATATTGTTTTGCCATTCCTTTGTCCACAGGAGCTGTTCACAGCCCCAGAGTTCCCAGTGCTGCCCTGTTCTCTTCTCAGCCCCAGGGAGTCTCCCTGGCACTAGCAGAGCTGCTGGGAGCTGGAATTCTCCCAGTGACCTCAGTCCCTCTGCCTGGAAAACATTCCTTCCATCTCCTGCCCCCCCCACCTCTCACCTCCTGGAAAAGAGGGGCTGTATCCTGCTGGGTGCTCCTGGCTCTGGGCAGATCCTACCTTCCACAGAGAATAGCAAAGGCAGTGACTGTGCCAAGGGCAGGTGACAAGGACAGTGGGTCACACCAATGCTGAGGAACCTCAGGGCCAGGCTCTGCCATTTTCAGGAAATGACCAGCCAGGGATACTTTTCCAAGGAAGGAACAAACAGGGACAAGAACTAAAGAGGCTATGACAGCACAGCCCCTAAACCTGCCCAGTCTCCAGCTGCCACACCTTTCCGTGGCCAGATAGGACCCAAATTCACAGCCAGCACTGCCTTGGGGGAGGTCCAGCTGTTCCTTCCCAGCCATGACTGAACATCGAGTGCCAGTGTCCATCAGCCCCTGCTCCCCTCTGCCCTGAACCACTGGCACCTGAGACCTATTGGCACCACTGGGCTCGTTAAATACCTACAAACCCTTATTGGCACTGTCAGACTTCTCTGCCCCCCTGGGGTACACCAGCCAAGTGTGTCCCTTTCTCCCACTCTCCCAACAGTAACTTCCTCATTCCACATCCAGTTCAGGGAACACCAACTTAGCCCTGGGCTGGGAAGCAAAAGACAACAAATTTAAAAATCATCCCTGCCTTGAGTGTGTCCATGCCTGGGAGAAAGCCCTTCCCACCACATTCTTGACCTTTTCCCAGTCGGAGTGCCTGTGGAAATGTACATCCAACCCCAGAGCAGATGTGCTGGAATGTTGTCTGAGCACCATGCACCACAGCCTCAAGCACCAGCAGCCTGGAGATGCTCTGGATTGCCTCAGTCAATCCCAGATGGGAAAGCCAAGAGAGAGGAGAACACATGACAGCAAGGGCTGTCCCAGCTGACTCGGCCCTTGTAGGCAGCTGCATCAGTGAACAGGATCTTTCCATCGTGTTTCCCACTGCCACTGGAAAACACTGCAAGCCTGTGGGTCTGAGGTCTAAAAGCTACTTTTAGGTCAGCAAAAAGGTCTCTGGCCAGGACAATTCACTGAATTCACAGGTAGATCCTGAAATCCGTTTCCAAGTGCATAAAAACCCAACGAAAAGGTGCTGAGCGCACAGGAGTTCAAGGTGCTCTGGGCACAAATTCCCTGAACTGCTGGGAAATGGTCCCAGGCCTGGCTTTGGTCTGCTCCCCCTGCACACTGCACTTTCCAGAGCAGCCATCCTCCCTGAGAAGGCCAGGGAGAAGGGAAGGGGCACTGGAGCTCCTCTGGGAACCCCCAGCCCCAATTCTTGTCACTTGATGGGTGGCTCCTGATGTTGCACTTGGGGATGAGGGACAGGGGTGGCCCTGGCAGTGCTGGGGCAGCAGCTGGACCCGATGGTCCACAGGAACACCTGAAGAGGTCCTGGCAGGGGCACAGCATGGCCACAGCATGTGTTCTGCAGCACAGCTTCTTGTGCTTCAGAGCTTCTGTTTATTGGTACAGATTCACTAAATTTAACCTCATAAAAATAATTTGGCAAGACTTACTTAACATTAACTCAGAGTTCCAGGGATGCGTTTCTCGGGATAGGCTCTTTTCCCGGCGCTACTTTTTCCCTACCGAAAGCGCATGCGCGCAGTGTCGCCATATTGGAAAGGGCACGGTAAGTATAAGCCGCCATGTTAGGTGTGGCGATGTGAGTTCCGCCCAAACTCCTCCATCTTGCGTTTTGGCAGAAGCCATTTTCGGTTAGCCCGCCATATTTGATGTGGTATCACGTGACTTCAACCCAAGGCCGCTAGCTTGTGTTCTGGCAGGAATCACTTCCGGTGAGAGCCGCCATCTTAGGTGTGGTATCACGTGAGTTCTGCCCAAACCCGCCATCTTGTGTGCTGGCAGCAGCCGGGTCCGGGCCACCGCCGGCCCGGGTCGCCCTCCTGGGCATTGCCAGCTTTGATTTGCGGCCACCTCCGACCCCTTGGCACCGGTGTTTGTCACTGTCCATCGCACACACAGAGACACGCACACACACACACACATGCAGCCGCATCAGAGCCCCTCACAGCTCGACCGAGCCCCGTCCGGCATCGCCCCGCTCGCTGTCCCCGATCCGGGGTGTGTCAAGAGTTTCTTGCCCACGTAACACAGAAAGAACCACCCATCAACACCATGGTCACAGTTGGTCTCTTCTGCGCATACAAAAGCTTCATTAGTCACAGCCATCAGAAAGGCCTTCAGAGTCTGTGAGTTAAAGGTAGTTGTGGAAAAAAAATGCTATTTCCTCATTCAGTTTTCTTTATGACAAATATCTCTGTTATTCATCACATTTCCAATAACAGAAGGCAGCTGATCTATGTTCCTGACAGGATATTCCTGTCCAAGTCCATGGTAATTTTTGTTTTGCAGCTGCCTCATACGTCAGTTTTTGCAGATCCTGAATGCAGAGGGGAGCAAGACATCTGCACTCCTGAGACCCTGTAGATGCTGGATTTTATGAAGATCTCAGCTTTGAGAGGGGCGAACCGCCGGTCCCGGCTCGATGCAGTTCCCCACAGGAGCACGAGGGGGTGCTGCAGGACAGGCTGTAAGCGTGTGGCGCTGTTCAGGGCTTCACCCTCTGCCCGGGCTGTCATTGCTGAGCTCTTCCCTCTGCCCTGTCAATAAGAAAAAACTGGTCTCACTGCACGATCGTGCTCCGGCAGTGGTGAAGCAGTGATGAGATATTCATAAAATCCTGGAATTTTCTGGGCGGGAAGGGACCTTAAAGTCCATCCCATTCCAGCCCCTACCAATAACAACCACAGCTTCCTCTATCCCAGGTTGCTCCAAGACCCGTCCAACCTGGTGTTGGACGCTTACAGGGTCCTGTAAGTTACTGCAGACTGTCAGACTAATTAGTTTTTTCTTTGAATCCTGTAGGAGAGAAGGTGATTAACGGGCCTGAGCATCATGTTAACACAACCATACACTTCTGGGAGCCACTTTTGGGAGTGGCAAACTATGCATTTTTCAGGGACACCCAAAAAGTGAGTTTTTTAGTGACACCTAAGCAGAACTCATCGCCAGTTGCATGAAGTGAGCGCCTCAGGAAAAAAAAGAGGATGAATTTAGGACAGAAAAATAACGTAGAGAATCAGCGAGTGACAGCAGTTAGCAGAGGGAAAGGGCAGGAATACACGCAAGCAGGAATAGGAGCATGCCTTTCAGATGAGATTAACTGCGAACGCATTGTTTATGAAATTATTTATTTTTCCCCGCCGGCTGCCTTTGGTGAAGCGAAAACTACATTTCCCGTGATGCCCCGGGGCGACGCAGGACGGCGCCATTCAGGCGGGGTGGGGCGGAGCTCGGGGCGTGGCCAATGGGGAGGCGGGAGCTGCTTGAATACTAAGGCGGCGGCAATTCTCAGTCCTTCTGCTGGCGGGCAGTTGGTGTGTCGGTGGGAGTGGCTCCCCCGACCAGGAATTGTGTGCGGTACGTCTGGTCGGG